GCGGTAACGGCGGTGAGGAGGTGGTGGCGGAGATGACCTCAAGACCGGTCCCCTCCGGGTTCCGTCAAGCCACGGTCACCTGAAGCTCCCGTCCACCATGGAGTGAAGAAGCTGAGGAAGAACGCGGTGGTGGAGACCGTAGTGTTTGTCCCCGCCCGGTCCCCGAGGCCAAGAGGAGTTGGGGGACACCAGGACAAGGGGGAGGTGCCGGGGAGGGGGTGTCCGACACCCATAGGTGGAACCCTGAGAAGATGGAGGGGGAGGGGAGCGGGGACAACTAAGGTGGACCACTCAGGTGTGGCTGGAGACGGCCACGAGCGGTCAACGCGCCTTGAGGAGGACTCAAGTGGAAGAAGGCAATCCAAGAGCAAACCGGCCCCACCACCAGAAGGTCTCCACCTACTCAAGCGCCACCGGTTAACGTTAGGTTGGCCAATCAGAGAAACCCTGAGCGACCTCGACTCAGCCAATGGTCACGTCGGGTTTTGGCCAAGCCAACCGGGAAGGTGCAAAGTCAACCTTGGGGTGACCCCAACGGAGATGGATCAACCCCAGGTGTGGACCTCCAAGCGACCACCGATGGTCAACTGAGGTCTACAAGAAGCCAATGAGAGAAGGCCAACCCAAAATGTGGTCTAAGCCAACCAATGGGCAACCTTGGGCTTGACCAACAGGACCAAGCAACCACCAATGGTCAACCAAAGTCTGGGAGAAGACAATGAGAGAAGACCAACCCAACCAATGGTCAACCCAGGTCTTGACCAACCAACCTGACTAAATCTGGTCAAACCCAACCCATAGTCAACCTTGGCCTTGACCAACATGACCAACCAACCACCAGTGGTCAACTGAGGTCTGCAAGAAGGCAATGAGACAAGATCAACCCAACCAATGGTCAACCTTGGTCTTGACAAACCTGACCAATCCCCACTCAGGACAACCGCAATGGGCCAATCCGACCCCAACCCTCATGACCAACCCCAGATCTGGACCTCCAAGCAACCACCCATGGTCAACCAAGGCCTACAAGAAGCCAATGACACAAGATCAACCCAACCAATGGTCAACCTTGGTCTTGACCAACCCGATCAATGGTCAACACAGGTCTTGACCAACCAACCTGGCCAAATCTGGTCGAACCCAACCAATGGTCAACCCTGGGCTTGACAAACCTGACCAATCCCCACCCAGGACAACCGCAATGGGCCAACCCAGGCCTGGGCCAACCCCAACCCTGATGACCAACCCCAGGTCTGGACCTCCAAGCAACCACCCATGGTCAACCGAGGCCTACAAGAAGTCAATGACACAAGATCAACCCAACCAATGGTCAACCTTGGTCTTGACCAACCCAACCAATGGTCAACACAGGTCTTGACCAACCAACCTGGCCAAATCTGGTCGAACCCAACCAATGGTCAACCCTGGGCTTGACCAACCTGACCAATCCCCACTCAGGACAACCGCAATGGGCCAATCTGACCCCAACCCTCATGACCAACCCCAGGTCTGGACCTCCAAGCAACCACCCATGGTCAACCGAGGCCTACAAGAAGCCAATGACACAAGACCAACCCAACCAATGGTCAACCTTGGTCTCGACCAACCCGACCAATGGTCAACCTTGGTCTCGACCAACCCGACCAATCCCTACGCAGCCCCAAGCACAAGAAACCGGAGAGAAGGACCCAACTGAGACCTGTCAAGGTCAATCTGACCTCATCTCCTACGTACCCCACCTCCCCCCTACTTCAACCACGGCTGATCCAGCGCCGGCGGCCAACTGGAAGAAGCCAAAGCGACGCTGTCGCACTGGCCCCGCCCCGAGGGGCCCCACCCAAACAGTGACCTCCGCCCGACCACACCCACCCCACCCTGAGGAACATCTTGACCTTCTTCCCAGGACTTCCCCGGCACCTGGCGTCCCCTCCACCAATAAAATAAGCTTTAAAAAAAAAAAACAAACAAAAAAAACCAACCCACAACAACCCCAAAACCCTTCAAAAACCCCCCACCCCACCCAAAATGTCCCAAAACACTCCAAATTTCGCAATCTCACCCCAAAACAACCCCACCCCCCGCCGAAAAACGAGAAGAAGGAAAAAAAAAAAAAAAAAAGGAGAATCGG